CCGGACTTAAACCCGACCGAACATCTCAGGAGAGACTTGAAAATAGCTGTGCAGCGACGCTCCCAATCCAACCTGACAGAGCTTGAGAGGATTTGCAGAGAAGAATGGGAGAAACTCCCCAAATACAGGTGTGCCAAGCTTGTAGCATCATACCCAAGAAGACTCGAGGCTGTAATCGCTGCCAAAGGTGCTTCAACAAAGTACTGAGTAAAGGGTCTGAATACTTATGTAAATGTAATATTTCAGTTTTCTATTTTTAATACATTAGCAAACATTTCTAAAACCAGTTTTTGCTTTGTCATTATGGGGTATTGTGTGTAGATTGATGAGGAAATTTTTAGAATAAGGCTGTAACGTAACAAAATGTGGAAAAAGTCAAGGGGTCTGAATACTTTCCAACTGCACTATATATATATATAAACGCAACATGTAAAGTGTTGGTTTCATGAGCTGAAATAAAAGACCCCAGAAATGTTCTATACGCACAAAAAGCTTATTTCTCTCAAATTGTGTGCACAAATTTGTTTAAATCCCTGTTGGTGAGCATTTCTCCTTTGCCAAGATAATCCATCCGCCTGACAGATGAGGCATATCAAGAAGATGATTAAACAGCATGATCATTATACAGGTGCACCTTGTGCTGGGGACAATTAAAGGCCACTCTAAAATGTACCGTTTTGTCACACAACACAATGCCATAGATGTCTCAAGTTTTTATGGAATGTCCACCAGAGCTGTTGCCAGAGAATTGAATGTTAATTTCTCTACCATAAGCCAACGTCGTGTTAGAGAATTTGGCAGAACTTCCAACAGGCCTCACAACTGCAGACCACGTGTAACCACGCCAGCCCAGGACCTCCACTTCCGGCTACTTCACCTGCAGGATCGTCTGAGACCAGCCACCCTGACAGCTGATGAAACTGAGGAGTATTTATGTCTGTAATAAGCCCTTTTGTGGGGAAAAACTCATCCTGATTGGCTGGGCTTGGCTCCCCAGTGGGTGGGCCTATGCCCTCCCAGGCCCACCCATGGCTGCGCCCATGCCCAATCATGTGAAATCCATAGATTAGGGCCTAATTTATTTATTTAAATTGACTGATTTCCTTATATGAACTGTAACTCAGTAAAATCATAGAAATTGTTGCATGATGTGTTTATATTTTTGTTCTCTCTCTCTTGGTTGTCCTTAATTTAGGAAGAAATGAATTTGTTCAAAACTGTTCAACTATTGTCTTTCTATCTCTTTGAGTCAACTACTCACCACATTTTATGCACTGCAGTGCTAGCTAGCTGTAGCTTTCAGTACTATATTCATTCTTTGATCCTTTGATTGGGTAGACAACATGTCAGTTCATACTGCAAGAGCTCTGATAGGTTGGAGGACATCCCCCAGAAGTTGTCATAATTACTGTGTAAGTCACAGGAGGATGGTGGCACTGTAATTGGAGAGAACGGGCTTGTGGTAATGACTGGAGTGGAGTAAGTGGAATGGTATCAAATAAATCAAACACATGGTTTGCAGGTGTTTGATGCCATTCCATTTGCTCCGTTTCGGACATTATTATGAGCCGTTCTCCCATCAGCAGCCTCCTGTGGCATAAGTCTATGAAAGGGGGTGAGAACCATGAGCCTCCTAGGTTTTGTATTGAAGTCAATGTACCCAGAGGAGGACAGAAGCTAGCTGTCCACCAGCTACACCATGGTGCTACCCTACAGAGTGCTGCTGAGGCTACTGTAGACCTTCATTGCAAAACAGTGTGTTTTAATCAATTATTTGGTGACGTGAATATATTTAGTATAGTTTTAAAAGGTTTCACTATTTAAAATTTTCTGAAATTCACTGAGGAGAATGATCCTCCCCTTCCTCCTCTGAGGAGCCTCCACTGTGTGTCATGAGTTAGTAGTGTGTGATCAACAGTCTACATTTCCTTGTCTTTGTCAGACGTCAAACGTTCTAGATATGGCACCTGGACATAGGACTGGGTCACACAAGCAGCTACAGAAGGATCCAAAAGTGAGTACCCTTTTGATTATTTTTAATTTTAAATCTTCATATATTGGCAAAATGTTCTCATTTGGAAAGTGTTTTGAGTTCTGTTTCTATTTTGACCTATTGAACTGATTGTTCTCTCAGAGACCAGGAAGGTGGGATACAATGCATGTCCGCATTGCATGGCAGATCCACCACCATAAACTGAGAGTGAAGGTATGGAAACATGTTGAACATCCACTAAAATGTGTATAAAACCCAATTATTATTATTTGTATCCAAACCAAACATTATAACTGAAGCGATCTTTCTGTCTGTCCATCCTTCCATTTCTCAGCAGAAGATGGAAGTGGACGCACATGCAAACAACTTCGTTATCAAACCAGAGTTTCTGACTCAGCCACCTGGTCCTGACCTGATTCAAGCCATCCACCATCAGCGGGACCTTATTCAGTCCTCCACCCCACTCTCTAACCCAGGTGAGGAAAGTGACCAAAGACTAAACCTCCTTAAAAATATGACTTGTCTTACTATAGTACTGTGTCTAACGCGGAGAGAAATGACTCAACATAGCATTTTTCCATTATTCTCCTGCACCAGAGTCACACAGTAGACATCCTTCATTTGGAGGTTTGGGCACACTGAGCGTCACAGCCTTTGGTGGACTGGCAAACCTAGCACTAAGTGAGTAGCACCTTCAGTCTCCCTTCAGTGTTGGTTCAGTATTATGTTAAAAACAATATAATCATAAAGGAGGGAATTGCCTTTTCAAGCTCACATATTTCTTTGACTTGCTTATTCTTCCTCCTCTTAAAAACAGACTATCCCATGATCTATCACAAAGACAATCGAAATGCACCAAGTGGAGAAGTAGGAGGAACTCCTGAGTGGTGGAGCAGGCAGCAGAAGACACCCCAGTCCTCTGAATGCCAACTTGAATGCTCTACAGAACCTGAACAACCAGGAAGAGATTCAACCAAGGAACCTCAGGACAGGGACACACTCAGGGAGAGGGAATGGGGACAGCAGCTGCACCTACCCAAAGAGAAGATGGAGGAGGAGAAACAGTACATAGTGGAGAAACACCAAGGCCACAATGTTGCAGGGACTCATGACAGTTCACCTGCTGAAGACAAGTCTGTTCCTCAGACAATGACCTTGGAACATGGTCAGCAGTCCAATGGCTGCCATAGCTGGGAGTCAGGTGACAGGAAGAGAAGACTTGAGTGTGAGAACTACATAAAGGCCAAGAAGATGAAGCGGCAGAGAGAGGATGACCAGGAGTATTTCAATGAGGGCCCTCAACCCAAGGACCCCACAGAGAAACCATCCCTGACCCCTACAACACTCACGCCATCCTCCATGTCGACGCAGCACATGACAATAGGGAACATTATTCCAGGGCTCTACCCAGTAAATAGTGTATGTAATCTGGCCCGGACTCAGGATGGCATTCCTGTTATGCAGCTCATCCCCTACCCTGCACTTCCCTGGGACATATACAGGGGTATGGACCTCCCTGTCTCCTCCTGTCAAGAGCTGGTCATGAGGGCTGATCCTCTGCATGGTGTGGTGGGGGCCAGGCTGTTGGAGGCAGCAGACTGTTCATATAGAGACCCTCATAACGGCTTTCCACACCCACCCTATCACCCCTCACTGGCCCTAAAGCAGCAGGAGAGGGCTTACCTCATGGAAAGAGAACGTCTGCACATGCTCAGAGAGGAATACTACCAGCACAGCCTCCATTCTGCCACCATGGGCGGCCATCTCCCCCATGTCAGCCGCCTGACCTCCACCTATTCCGGGTCACATATCTCCAGGGTGGGTCTCACACATAGCCACCAGAGTAGCTTCCCCAACAGAACTCTTCCCCCTGGGTGCTTAAGCACACTGCCGCCTCTGGTCCCCTTGTCTGGCGCTCCCCACAGGACTACCTCGTAATGACAGAAATCAGAAGACCCTACTCTGTGTGCTTGCTTGCCTTAGACTGTAACTCAGCAATGTACTGCTTCAAGACAAATTCTGTGATTCTGATTACTGCCTGTATGACACAGATAAACGACAAACTACTATGTTGAAAAACTCCGAATTTATTTACATCCCTTAAAACACCTGTAAATTGATGAACAATGACATTGAACAGAAAAGTGCAATCCACCGAATGAGTTCATAAAACTTTAACTCTTGAGTTTGTCAAGTTACTGTTCCTAAAATGGACATACAAAAATATAAATAACTGACAAAACTTAACAAATGTAAAAAACAAACAAGAACTAGGTAAAATCAAAAGCTACAGCATTAATTAAATCAGAATATCCCGTGACCATAAAGGAAAACCTAAGATCGATGACTTAATGGGAAAGAGTTCAGGACATCAGGAAAAACATCAGGAACATGACCTGACAGACTTCTTTCTACACTTTAAACCTGAGGTTATTTCAAAACTGCTGTCAATGGGATCACATACTGAGGCTGCATTAAACTGAAGCTGCTGACGCCCTCGCCGCATTAAAGCTCATACTGTAAAACACTAACAAATAAAAACACACTGTATAAAAAAAAACTTTTGATCAGGGCTAGTAAGCACCAACACAATCTTCACATTCTTGCCAACTTGTTGCATCTCTACCAGAGATACTAACATTTAGTGAACTTTAATAAACAGTCCATCCCAGGTTAAGCCCAGCCATCATACATACAGCACAGCTGTAACAGAGTGATTCATTACGGCTACATTAGTGGTCTCCAACACGGGTCCTGAGAAGATGCTGGATCTGTATATATATATATATTTTTTTTTCTTCTAAAGCTAAGTGCTAATTTCAAAGGAATGACATAGTGTGTTAGATATTAATGGCTGCATTGATCGCCTGGAATATTCCTATTCATTGAGATACAATTCAAGTTGGTATCATTACTTTAGTCTACAGAATCAAGGTTGGAGACAACCATTGTGGCAGCGTCAAGAGTTTACTTGGACCACTAAAATAAGGAGGGTCAGTGTGTGTGATCACACCACATCCATCCCCAGACCCCTGGCCACCTCAGTCAGGGCCCTCAAAGCACCTGAGGGCCCGCAGGAGTCAGAGCCGTCCAGGGTGGTGTCGGGGTCATCCCCCATATCAGACACGTTACTCAGGACACAGTACACAGGTGAGTCACTGCCCCTGGGGCTGGGCTGGGCTGACATCTCATCCCCTGCAGAGTGCTCTGAGGAAGAGGAGGAGCAAGAAAAGGGGGAGGAGGAACCAGGGGGAGAGCCGTGACTCCTGTCTGCCCGGGTGGCAGCTCTCTTGGCTCGGCTGCTGGACCCGGGGCCCTTATGGAGCGTCCTCTTCTTAGCCATGTTCTTCATGATCGCCTGAGTCACCTCCACGGTCTCGTAACGCACCATGTTCAGCCTCAGATAGCCATCTTCATCTTCCTTGTATCTGTGGAGCAAGCCAAATAATCAACAACCACCCCCTTATGGTAAAACTGACTAACTCATGTTAACTCATCACATAAGAGAAAGATTAAGTGTTGTTCATACCTGAAGCGGGAGTGTCCAGAGGGCCATTTCAGGTGGTGTTTCTTGCGCAGGTGAAGAGTGAGTGTGTAACACCAAGAGAAGGTTTTGTCACAGAGATGACACTTGTATTTCGAGACCATTCCACCCTACCGAGGAGAATTATGCAAGTGTCAAGTACAGAACACTTGATCAAAATTCAACAAACCCAAAAGCATTTTTGTAAATGAAAAAGTCTAGCTTTGACACTGATCTTGATTCTGTAGTTCTATTGAGCACTGAGTACGTGTTTGGGGCCCCCTGCAGGCAGTCTGAAGTACCTCGTGTACTCTCTTGTAGTGCTGGTTCATGGTGTGGGCCATGCGGGAGGAGTAGTCACAGCCCTCTACAGAGCAGTGGTAGGCCGCCCCCTCATTATGGGTCTCCATGTGCTTCCGCAGGTCGTGCTGGTTCTTAAAGCTGGGAGACATACATCATAAACAACTGAGTGTAAGCAAAATAATATGTTCACAATATGTATACAGTCCATAAGGGTCAGTAGGTTGTGGGAAGTTTTATAAGTCTGTGGGTCAACAACCTGCTCTCACAGAAGTCACAGGGAAAGGGTCGCTCGTCACAGTGGCGGAACTTGATGTGGATCTTCAGAGTGGCGAGAGAGGTGCAGGTCATGTCACACAGGGGACACTTGATATGGTTCACTGGGAGAAGCAGAGGATAGATCACTCATAAGGTTTACAGTTAAAGAAACTGGACAGACAACAGCCATCATCATCAGCCGATCGAAATATCTTATTGACAAAACCTATTGATAGCACTACAACTAAAATAAATCTGATTGACTAATAGATGTACATGTCAAAGCCAGACATTGAAAATGAGCTAAATAATACTGAACAGAGAAGTGGTGGAGAACAGCACACTCACCATGCTGTCGTACATGGTCTCTCAACAGTCTCTCATTGGCAAAGCCTTTGTCACAATGCTCACACACCAGGGACTCTGCAATAATCAGAGGGCATTCAATCAAAATAAAATGTACATGTCTAAGCCAATAACATATCTGCCTATAAGCTGTAAAACAGTGACTACTGGCCAGGCAGAGCTGAGCCCATTCACCCTCTGGCTCGGCCTGTCTGTGGATGTGGTCGAAGAACTTGGTGTTGCTGGAGAACATGCAGCCGCAGGTGGGGCAGGCCACCAGACGCTCCTGAGTGTGGCTGCGCAGGTGCTCTCGCAGACGGTACTTGATTTTAAAGAATGCATCACAACCTGTGGAAACACATGAAGAGGGTATCAGCTGAAGCAGGCCAACAAAACATCAGTGTATTCAATGCATCACTACAGCAGGAAAGGCTGTGCTGATATCCCTTCCTTTCCCCTAGCAGTACCTTTCCAGCTGCAGAAGATGGCCTGTTGCTGGTCTGGGAGAGGAGAAAGCCCAGTGCAGTGAGCGTGCATATCTACATGCCGATAGAACCACTCCGGGTTGTTAAATGTACTCTGTAGCAAAACAACAAAGTCACTGAGGGTGTATATCACATACACTACTATTTTCTACATTGTAGAATAATAGTGAAGACATCAAAATTATGAAATAACATATATGGACTCATGTAGTAACCAAAAAAGTGTTAAACAAATCAAAATATATTTTATATATTTGAGATTCTTCAAATAGCCACCCTTTGCCTTGATGACAGCTTTGCACACTCTTGGCATTCTCTCAACCAGCTTCACCTGGAATGCTTTTCCAACAGTCTTGAAAGAGTTCCCACATATGCTGAGCACTTGTTGGTTGCTTTTCCTTCACTCTGCGGTCCGACTAATCCCAAACCATCTCAATTTGGTTGAGGTCGGGGGATTGTGGAGGCCAGGTCATCTGATGCAACACTCCATCACTCTCCTTCTTGGTAAAATATCCCTTACATAACCTGGAGGTGTGTTGGGTCATTGTCCTGTTGAAAAACAAATGATAGTGCCACTAAGCCCAAACCAGATGGGATGGCGTATCGCTGCAGAATGCTGTGGTAGCCATGCTGGTTAAGTGAATTCTAAATAAATCACAGACAGTGTCACCAGCAAAGCACCCCCACACCATAACACCTCCTCCTCCATGCTTTACGGTGGGAAATACACATGCAGAAATCATCCGTTCACCCACACCGCGTGTGAACCACAAATCTACAATTTGGACTCCAGACCAAAGGACAAATGTCCATTGCTCGTGTTTCTTGGCCCAAGCAAGTCTCTTCTTCTTATTGGTGTCCTTTAGTGGTTTCTTTGCAGCAATTCGATCACGAAGGCCTGATTCACACAGTCTCCTCTGAACATGTTGAGATGTGTCTGTTACTTGAACTCTGTGAAGCATTTATTTGGGCTACAATTTCTGAGGTTGGTAACTCTAATGAACTTATCCTCTGCAGCAGAGGTAACTCTGGGTCTTCCATTCCTGTGGCGGTCCTCATGAGAGCCAGTTTCATCATAGCGCTTGGCGTTTTTTGCGACTGCACTTGAAGAAACTTTCAAAGTTCTTGACATTTTCCGTATTGACTGACCTTCATGTTTTAAAGTAATGATGGACTGTCATTTCTCTTTGCTTATTTGAGCTGTTCTTGCCATAATACGGACTTGGTCTTTTACCAAATAGGGCTATCTTCTGTATACCCCTCCCCCCTACCTTGTCACAACACAACTGATTGGCTCAAACGCATTAAGGAAAGAAATTCCACAACTTAACTTTTAAGAAGGCACACCTGTTAATTTAAATGCATTCCAGGTGACTACCTCATGAAGCTGGTTGAGAGAATGCCAAGAGTGTGCAAAGCTGTCATCAAGGCAAAGGGTGGCTATTTGAAGAATCTCAAATATATTTTGATTTGTTTAACTTTTTTGGTTACTACATGATTCCATGTGTTATTTCATAGTTCTGATGTCTTCACTATTATTCTACAATGTAGAAAATAGTAAAAATAAAGAAAAACCCTTGAGTAGGTGTTCTAAAACTTTTGACCGGTAGTGTACACAAAGTCACTGAGTATTATTAACTAACATCACAGTGCTCCCACTGGCACACAAGTCCCTCTGTGATCTCGGGGACCAGGTTGTTGCTGTGGAGGTCCTGGGTGCAGCTGGGGAAGTTAGGGTGGGACTTGAGCAGCTGTGCCCCGATGTACTTGAGTTTGCTGTGGAAGGTGTGGAAGTGTGCGTGGATCTCCAGCTCCCTGGGGCTGCCCATAGCCAGGAACTCACAGCCCTCCCACAGACACGCATAGTCATCTGGAGGGAGCAACACAACACACTTATTTGGCAAAAGGCAGTAGGTGCTGTTAGTGGTATTCTTGTGAGCATATAATCAACTGTGCCTCATTACTTTTGAAAAGCTTCCTGTCCTCGACTACTTTCCCTTGCAATCACCGACAGACTGTAGAGGCTGGAAAGATTTTAAATTCTACATGTGCTTTCACCTGACGGAAGAGACTAGGGAAAGGAAACTATTGAGACAATACTGAGACACAGGTGTAGTTGTCATCTGATGGTCCCCTCACCCACCCACCTAGTTCCTCCATAGCATCTCTGTCTCCTAGGTGATCCTTCAGGTGCAGTGACATGTGTTCGCTGAGCTCCTCCATGCCGTGGCCTTTGAAGGTGCAGGACGCCCACTCACATGACACCACCAGGTTGGACAGGTTCCTCCTCTTCGCCATGTAGATCTTGCTGATGGACACAAGGTAGGTTGTGCTGCCACACCAGTCCCAAACCACCCAGAACCAAAAAAACTGCAGCAGGTGTTGTAATAGCTTAATAGCCAAAACAGTTATTTTAACAGCAGGTTCGATTTGGCTACTGTACAGTAGCTAGCTAGTTCACAACATCATTACAACCAAACTGGATTAATTCTGGCACAACCTTCAGTGGGTCACTATTTTTCCAATTTTAATATGACTAACAATACTAGTTAGCGTGCTAGCTACAAGTGGGAAATAGTTACACAGTGTGCCTGTGCCAAATACCTAGCATGGCATTACAAAGCTAGCTAGCTAGCTAACTAGCTGGGATTTCCAACCTTGGAAAGAGACGTAAACGTTAGCTAGCTACTGTAGTTAGTAAATGCTAGCCCTTTATCGTTGTACAAATTATGATACAATTGGCATGCTCTCTAAACATTAATGTAATAAACACTGTTAGCTAAATATCACATTTGAATTTACTTACAGACTATGTTGTCATTGTTAACAGAAGAAGTCAGAATATTTTTCGTTCCCTCCAATGTTGAGCCACTTTCTTCTTCTTCTTTAAGATTGGGTTGGCAATCGCAGCCAACATTTAAGCTGCATACACTGCCACCTACTGTACTGGAGTATGAGGTCAGTCACGGCCTACCTACATTAAATTATCTTAATTAGTCCTGTTCCTCTAAGAAAGTGAAATAGAGCCCTAGACACCACTTCCCTCCCTCCACTACACCACCCAAACTCCAACCCATCCAGCCTCTCTAACCCTTTCACACAATCTCTACCTATCTAGGTCATACAGTTCACAAAATATCAACACATAATCCACCGTTTCCTCCACTAAACACTCATCACACAGACCTGTTTCATGTCTCCCTATCATCCACAACGTGGAATTCAAACCTGTGTGCCCACACCATAGTCTACTCCACACAACTTCCTCTATCCTACATCCCGTACTCCCCACCTCTTCCTTAACTGACCGGTGCACGCAATGAAATTGCCTCCCCTTACTGCTAGCACCCCACCCCCTTTGCCAAAGATCGAGCCCGGATCAAGGACTTGACTTCCCTATGGCCCAACGGGACCTGAATATCTAACCCCTCTCTCCTCACCACACTCTTAGCCACCACATCAGCCTTCTCATTACTCTCTACACCCATATGGGCTGGAACCCAGCAAAAGCTTACCACCACTCCCATCCTCTCCAATCAATCAAATTCAATCAATCAAATGTAATTATAAAGCCCTTTTTATATCAGCAGATGTCACAAAGTGCTATACAGAAATCCCATTAAGAGCACCATCATCTCCACAAACAAGTCTCCCCTATCTGACCTCCCCGTCTTCACACTACTCAACACTGCAGCCAATCAGAGCAGATCACCACTCTGAGTGGTTTCACCTCCTCCACCCATCTCAAACCTATAATCATGGCCATCAACTCGACCGCATACACTGACACATAATCAGTTAACAGATTACATACTCTAACATTGAAATCTGGGATATACACCCCTGCCCACACCCTACCATTCACAGGATCCTTTGAACCATCTATACTGTATATATCCTTAAAAATGAATACAACCGATTATCTATATATATATATATCTCTCCACACCCCTTCTCACGTCCTCACCCCATACTCTCCTACCCTCAATCATATCCAGATCTAGACTTGGTTTCGGAAACAGCCACGGAGGAACGTTCCCCAATGCAATTGCCGGCCCCATCTCTTTCTCCCCCAGTCCATATTCTACCACTTTCTGCCCAATTGTCCACCCGTACACCCTCTGCTTACCCACTCCTCGCTCCCAACATTCTCCAGTTGCCGTGACCGCAGGATGTCCTTCTGAACTCCCTTTCAACCTCGCCCAGTACGCTAATGCAAGTTTGTCCCACCTTATCCTCAGTGGCAGTTCCCCACCATCCACCTGCAATGCCTTAACAGGTGTCGTCGTCCTGAAGGCACCCACGCACAATCTCAGGGCCCTTGACTGTATCCTATCCAGGTGCTGTAGTATCGTTTGGCTGCTGATCCACATACAAAGCACCCATAATCCAAAGATGATCTGATCAATGCCTGATACATACACAACAGTGTTTGTCTATCTGACCCCCAATCATATCCTGCCACTGCCCTCATGAGGTTCAACACCTTCCTACACTTAATTTCAATATACTGAACATGTCTCTTCCACGTGTGCCTCTCATCAAACCACATACCTAAATACTTAAACTCAGACACCCTACCTATATCATGACTGTATATTTGCAGACTAACATCTTTAATCTTCCTCCTAGAAAACACCATAAAGCAGGACTTGGCCACAGACATCCTAAACCCCCATGTTAGAGACCAATCTTCCACAACTCCCACAACTTCTTGCATCTTCCTCATCACATATTTCACATTCCCACCTCTCTTCCATACAGCCTCATCATCAGCATACAACGCCACACCCACTCCCTGTCCCACCTTCTTAAATATGAAATCTATCATCAGGGTGAACAACACAGGACTAACCACACTTCCCTGAGGAGTACCATTGTCCACTTCAAACCACATTGACAATTCTGACCACACCCTCACCAGTATGACCCCGATCTAATAGGAAGTCCAGGATCCAGTTATACAGACGTTCCCCAATGCCTCCCTTTTCTCTATCTTAATCGTTCTTCTCGCCATTGCTCTCTTCCTTTTATACTCCATGAAATTAATTTCTGTCAAGCCATTCTTAAGTACCTGTAGAGCTATATCCCTTTCCTGCACCACCTTTGAGCACTCATCTGTCCACCATGGCACCACCCGCGTCTTCCTCCCCCCGAACCCACTGGTACAGTCACATCTGCAGCTGATATAATTACAGACGTTACTGCCTCAGCGCACTCATCCACAGACCCCTCCATTGATAACTTTTGTCCCGCCCATCTTCCAGTTAGCTTTCTCAAAGCACCACCTCATGTTATTGCCTCTACTCTGCATACACACATCCATATTTAACTTACATCGAACCGGAAAATGATCACCCGGCTATCTGACCAGCGCCCTCACTGAAAGATGGAGAGGAATGTTGGTACCTGCCAACCTTCAGGGTCTACCATCCACAAAAGCCAAGCCAGGTCAGGGTGGTTTTAGACTCCAGCGTGCAGCAGTACTGTCTCTCCCTCAACAACATACTGCTCACAGGCCCAGACCTAAACAGCAGCCTCCTGGGAGTTCTCATCCGCTTCAGGAAAGAACCTGTAGCAATAACAGCAGACATCCAGCAGATGTTTAATTGTTTCATCGTGAGAGAAGATCACAGAAACTACCTGAGATTCCTCTGGTACCGAGACAACGACGTCACAAAAAACATAATCGAGTACAGGATGAAGGTCCACGTCTTCGACAACAGCCCATCTCCTGCCATCTCCATATACGGGCTCAGGCAAGCTGCACAAGAAGGTGAACAGGACCATGGGGCAGACACCCAACAGTTTGTGGAGAGACTTCTATGTCGATGATGGGCTCAAGTCTCTGCCCACAGATACAGAGGCCATCGATTTGCTACGGAGAACACAAACATCGCTAGCAGTGTCAAACCTACGACTGCACAAGATCGCATCGAACAGTGCAACCGTAATGGAAGCATTCACCCCAGAAGATCATGCCAAGGGCATTAAAGACCTAGGCCTCTGAGGAGAAACCACACCCATGCAACGCAGTCTTGGATTATGCTGGAAAATAACAAAGGACCCCTTTACCTTCAGAGTATCAGTCAGTGACATACCATTCACGCGTTGCTGAGTCCTGTCAACAGTAAATAGCCTCGTCGACCCTCTCGGCCTGGTAGCTCCGGTAACCATACAGAGCAGAGCCATACTGCGGGAACTCTCCTCAGGCACTTGCGATTGGGATTCACCACTCTCTGAAGAAAAGCTGAAAGAATGGGAAGCATGGAGGGACTCACTACAGGATCTGAAGCAGCTTCATATCCCACGTACGTACAGTGCCTTACAAAGGTATTCATCCCCCTTGGCGTTTTTCCTATTTTGTTGAATTACAACCTGTAATTTAAATTGATTTTTATTTGGATTTCATGTAATGGACATACACAAAATAGTCCAAATTGGTGAAGTTTAAAAAAACTAAAGATTAAATAACGGAAAAGTGGTGCGTGCATATGTATTCCCCCTAAATAAGATCTGGTGCAACCAATTACCTTCAGAAGTCACATAATTAGTTAAAAAGTCCACCTGTGTGCAATCTAAGTGTCACATGATCTGTCACATGATCTCAGTATATATATACACCTGTTCTGAAAGGCCCCAGAGTCTGCAACATCACTAAGCAAGGGGCACCACCAAGCAAGCAGCACCATGAAGATCAAGGAGCTCTCCAAACAGGTCAGGGACAAAGTTGTGGAGAAGTACATATCAGGGTTGGGTTATAAAAAAATATCAGAAACTTTGAACATCCCACGGAGCACCATTAAATCCATTATAAAAAAATGGAAAGAATATGGCACCACAACAAACCTGCCAAGAGCGGGCCGCCCACCAAAACTCACGGACCAGGCAAGGAGGGCATTAATCAGAGAGGCAACAAAGAGACCAAAGATAACCCTGAAGGAGCTGCACAGTGGAGATTGGAGTATCTGTCCATAGGACCACTTTAAGCCGTACACTCCACAGAGCTGGGCTTTACGGAAGAGTGGCCAGAAAAAAGCCATTGCTTAAAGAAAAAAATAAGCAAACATATTTGGTGTTCGCCAAAAGCCATGTGGGAGACTCCCCAAACATATGGAAGAAGGTACTCTGGTCAGATGAGACTAAAATTGAGCTTTTTGGCCATCAAGGAAAACGCTATGTCTGGCGCAAACCCAACACCTCTCATCACCCCAAGAACACCATCCCCACTGTGAAGCATAGTGATGGCAGCATCATGCTGCAGGGACTGAGAAACTGGTCAGAAGCCCAGACCTCAA